TACTTTGGAGGAATGCGAATGTGTTGTAAAGAATGGAGGGGTAGGAAGCACTTCGACAATCTCTCAGCTCATGAATGCTCAAAATAGTGCTACTGAGGATATTCGAAAGTTGAAGGCAAGGAATGCCATATTGGAGAGTCAGCAGGCCCAAGGGGCACCAAGGTCAAATGACGAGATAGCTTGTCTGACCAAAGAAAATGCTGATCTCCGGCAACAAGTGGAGAACCTGAAGGAGAAACTGTTCACCGAGCAAATGTCAGCAAATGCCCGAATAGATCCCGTTCTCAACACCCTTACTGCAACCTCCAAGCCCTCTCCTCCTAGTTTCCCTTAGGCAAACCTCTCAGTGACCTGTTTCTGGGTTATCTCTTTTGTTCTTTTGATGACTTTGGCAATTTTTTTTTGTGGTGTGGATGGGATGTACCTGTACTGCTCCCGCTGATAACAGTCTAATTTCTGCCTTTTCTGCACTGGCAAAGGCTTATGTTTTATAAAACTATCCTCTTTTGCTGTTTATTGCTTATGTTTCTCTACTTCTCTTTTCTATCATGTTGTGTGCACATATGTGGCATGAGTTAGCTCGTCTAGACTTCTTTATGTTGATTTCTTGCTTGTGTATTTTTAATGATGTCAAAAGGGGGAAGTATAATTGAAACAGGGATCTGATTAAGGAGGAAGCATAAAGTCAGGGGGAACTTGTGAAGTTCCTGTTACTTAATCTGGTTTATTTTGCTCTAAACATGTGTTATCAATAAGTTTGTCATCATTAAAAAGGGGGAATTGATGGGGTTACAGTACCTTAGCTTTATGTTTTGATGATCTAACAAACTTACTGTCCAAGAACCAGATAAGGAACCTGACACATTTGGTTCACAACTAAAATCAACGGACTTCAGCTTATGAGAGTTGCTATAACTTCAGAAGATAGAGAATCAACACAGGGACCTGATACCTCTGTGTTTCCCTGACAGCAGTACGAAGTCAACTGTCTACAGCTGGAAAGTGATTGCCTGCACTGTGCACAGAAACAGTGCAGCACAGTTCTGCAGTCACTTCTCATTTGACCTACCAAGTGATTACATCATTCAAGCGAAGTCATCCAAGTTGTATTAACATTAAACATTACAACAAAACATCACTTGAACACTTGAGAATTCATTCAAGCACTCCAACCATTTTTCCTGCCAAGCATTCAATTCTCAAGTGCATCAAGAACAAAGAACAACACTACTACGGACCAGTTCCTACAGCAAGTATTTTGTATGTCCTTAGTTGAGTTGTAACTTTGTAATTGTTCTTCATTGTAGTTCCTACTTTACTTATCTAGAAGCGTGATTTAGGAACTCCTTGTAAACCATAAACCTTTAGTGTTTGTGTCGTGACTAAAGTTAGTCATGAGTTGAAGTGTTTTTAATAGGTGTATTGCAAAGTGGCTTGTAATAGGTGTATTATAAGTTAGTGAGGGATTAAGAGTTTAATTCCTAGATTGCATAGGTTGTAATCTAAAGTTGCTCATAGTGAAGTTGAAATCCTACCAGTGTAGGTCGTGGTTTTTTATCCCCTTGAGCAAGGATTTTTCCGCGTAAAAACTCCCTGTTCTTTTTACTTACTGTTATATTAGCATTCTCAGTGGAAACTCATATAGGACCTGGTCTCTATATAGTTTGGTGGACTCATATATTCTATCAATTGGTATTAGAGCGGGTTCTTTCTATTAGGTTAACACCTAGGAAGGATCCTCATGGCTGCTCCACCAAATTTTGAAGAAGGTCAGTCTACGTATAGACCACCCAGGTTCAATAGGCAATACTATGGGTGGTGGAAGACAAGAATGCATGACTTCATCTTGGCAGAAGATTCTGAGTTGTGGAATGTTATGTTATCAGTCTTCTTTCAACCCACCGAGGAAAACTCCAAGCAAACGGTGTTCTGGCCAATTTTGCACACGCGCTGCACGTTTTACAAATTCTTGCCTATACTCAAACACTGTTCCAGTTTGTTGGATATCACAGAGATGTTCATCAGGGTTTTGAAACTCAGCAGGCCCGTAATTTTCTTGCATTACTTTCAGCAATTCGTCCCAATAGTAACCGGTTCGCTCACTGTTAATCCAAGCGAAAAGATCCAGTGCATCTCCTTCCAAGTACATCGAAGCCAAATCAACCTTGCGTTCCTCAGAAGTTTGATAGTACTGGAAATACTTCTCTGCTTTTAAAATCCAGCCTCTAGGATCTCCTCCCTCATACTTTGGAAATTCCATCTTTGTTTGTGAGCGCCGGAAAGTTTCTCAATGCCAAGTATTGTTAACCTCACCCTCTTCTGGTGTGGCTTTAGCTTTCCCTTTACTGTTGTGATCTCCACTGTGTTGTGCTTTTAATGCAGCCACATCAGCGGCTAACACATCTATGGCTTCCAATTTCGCTGCTATAGTCATCAATTGTTGGGAAATTGGGTCAAGAGTAGGAATGGTGGATTCACTGTGGGAAGTGTTGGTCCGTGTGTTCACCATGGCAGATCTTACTGCTCTGATACCGATGATAGGAACCAGAAGTAGATAACAGAATAAATAGAACAAAGAAGTTAATATTATTGGCATTAGTTTGTGCAAGAATCTTAAACACAACTACACCAATAAAGTTGTCCGTATTGAGAGGACAATGCTCCAAAATAAAGTAGTTTTGATTCTGATAATGATACCTACACGTTACGGGATCTATTAATTATATAATAGGTTGACCATAACTACTGCATAACCTGTTAGGATAAGATAAATGACTTCTAATAACCATAATAAAACTGCTAAACAGATAACTTCTAATAACTGAAAGCTCCAGGAGTTATCTTCTCCTAAATTTCTTTGCTTCTTCTGGAAGATACGTGGCTTATCACATAGCTTGTTAGTATATATACCTACTCTATTTTTTAGTATATATACGTGGAAGATACGTACTTTTTTAGGGAAAAGGGTTGCTCTCTCACTAGGATTAGTTACTTAAGGTTTGACCATTCTTACTTGTATTTTCCTTTTTGAAGTATTTTTATCATTAACAAAAGCCCACATAACACACATCATTGAAGAAGCTGAATCACATACTAGATTTTAACTATCACCCAAAATGCTCCAGGAATCACATAACACACATCTGCTTTGCAGATGATCTGATACTATGTAGCAGAGCAGATAGGATTTCAATACAACTATTACTAGGGAGACTCAACCATTTCTCTGAGGTCTCAGGGCTACAAGCTAATATGGAGAAAAGTGCACTGTATATTGCAGGGGTATCTAATGAGTTCAAGGCACAGATCCTAGAAGAACTGCAATTCACTCTAGGAGACCTTCCATTCAAGTACTTAGGTGTACCACTATCTTCAAAGAAGTTGTCTATTCAACAATGGCTGCCTCTGGTTGAGAAGATCATAGCAAGAATTAACTGTTGGACAGCAAAATTCTTGTCATACAGTGGGAGACTGCAGTTACTTAAGAGTGTGATATTTGAGATGCAAACGTACTGGGCACAGGTTTTTCTACTGCCAAAGAAGATTATCAAGCTGATAACTACAGTATGTAGAACTTTCCTATGGACTGGAAGCAATGAACCCTCTAGGAAAGCAGGGAAGCTATATGCAAGCCAAAGTGTGCAGGTGGACTTAATGTGCTGGATGGAACAAGGCTGCTCTATGCAAGTTACTATGGGCTATAACTGAAAGAAAGGAGGCTTTGTGGATCCAATGGGTGCATAGCTTCTACATCAAAAACAGAAATGTTGAAAATATGAATACTCCAAAGCAGGCAAGCTGGATAGTGAAGAAGATCTTTGATGTAAGGGAGTGGTTTAGGCAGAATAATCCCACTGACACTCTGAATAACTTTTGTAAGAAGGGAAAGTTTAATATTAAGAAGCTATACAATGCAACAAGACCACAATATCAGAAGTGCAACTGGAAGAGACTAACTATGGCCTCAAAAGCAATTCCTAGGCACAAGTTTATCCTCTGGTTGGCACTACATAGGAGATTGGCCACAGTCGAGAGACTACAAAAATGGGGAATAGTGGTAAGTAAATACTGTGTACTGTGCAAAAGAAATGTGGAGGAAACATTTGATCACTTGCTATTTGAATGTGAATACTCCAAGACAATGTGGGCTACAATGCTGAGATGGGCAGAGGTTAATCATCAAATAGGGAACTGGGAAGAGGAGATCGCATGGATAGCAAAAGTAGCTGTAAACAGAAGCAAGGGTGAAATCTTAATTTTCTTATTTACAGCAGTGGTTTATCATGTATGGAATGAAAGGAACAACAGAAGATTCCAAGGAAAGGAGATATTATGCAGCAAGAGAATCAAAGAGATTGTTCAAATGTTACACATAAGAGGACAGTGTGTAGTAAACTGGAAGAAAGAATTAGAAAAACTCAACAGTTATCCTAGCTAGTTAGTCTGTAATTAGCAAGCTAGGTATTGATAGATTAAGTGTTTTCTCTTCTGTTTTGTTTACAGCTTATAGAAAATGATGTATAGGAGCTAGCTCTAAAGTCCAAACGAGCTACGGGGATGTAAATATTATATTTGGTTAAATAAAATTTTGCTTTTAACCAAAAAAAAAAAAGCCCACACATGCACTCTGCCTTATGTTATATTTGAAAGATTAAAGATATTAATCGTTTGTCATTTCATTTATAAATGCCAACGGCTTGCAAGTCTATTTTCATTTTGTAAACCGGTGATTACAACGGCAATCGTCAAAAAAAGATTTTGTATTATACAGGTTATTCAAACCACAATTCTCTTTTTTGTTATATATACACGGATTTCCCTATTCCAAACACGGAAATGAGAGCCTTTATTTGTGATTGTGATTGTGATTGATAACATTCCATAAATTGACATTTACTTTCCTTAAAACTTTCTTTGACTGAGATAGAAAATCGGAATTACCTCAAATACATATTTCATTTCCCATATATATTATTCAAATTTGGAGCAAGAAAATATTCATCAATTGCATTCAATATATTTTCCACCTTTCTTTCTCCAACGATTCCGCATTATATTTGAGTTTGTGAGAGGAACATATATAAAGAGTTCCTTTCAACTCCAAAAAGAGTTAAAAAAAAATTAAAAACAAAAATATGGGAGCTTGTGCTAGTGCCCCAAAGGACTTGAAGGCTGAGGCCAAGGCAGCCCCTCTGCCGGAGCAACCAAAGGAGGAGGAGACCGCCACCACCACCACCGTGGCCCCGGAGGTGACGGCGGTTGACAAGGAGGTGAACGGAGAAGATGAACAAAAGAAGGTGGAAGATGGTGATGTTGCTAAGCCAAAGGAGGATGAGAAGGTGGCCGGGGATATTAACAAATCCAATTCTCTTGGGACGTTGCTCAATGAGGTATATTATTATTTTTCTTTTTTATGATATTAATTTTCGAATACAACCCAATTTTCTCGAGGTAATGGCTACGTATTTAGTATGATAGAAGTCATTTTCTTTTTTTAAAAATGATATGGCTAAGTCATTTTTTTTGACAATCAAAGATAGAAAATGTTTACGGTTTTGAATGCTTTGAAAATGAATGGCACAGACCGAAGTAGAAAAGGAGTCAGTTAAAGATGAGAAGAGCTCAGAAACCACAGACAAAAAACCAGAAGAAGCAAAAGTGGGAGAACTTGTAGCATCAGATGCCAACAAAGAAACTGATGCTCAACAACCAGCTGCTGCAGAAGAGGCTGAAAAGAAATCAACATCATTGGTCTCAAGAGAGCTACAATGATAAATGCATATGCTTTTTTGTTGGTTACTTGAGGGTCAAGGAAAAATTGTGTAGCAAAATATATGGGGATTGGAACATATATGGACTTGCATGGGTTCTAATATGGTGGATATTGTTTTTGAAGTATCTATAGTTACATGTACTTGGGTGTTTCATGTTATTGGAGTTCCCTTAACCTTTCTTTTAAATTCTTTTGATATTGTTTGTTCATCAATATTCACACATCCTGCCGTCGACCGAATCCTTGCACAATAGGTGTGTGTTCAATTCTCAGTACGGTTTTATAGAAGATTTTCTTAAACACAAAACTCGTTGATTTACTCCTTTCATTTCTCATGGGATCCTTCTCAGTCAATAACCACCTAGGCTTTAAACAACAAGTGAGAGCCTAATTCCCTATTATGAAATAACGACTTAGATACTACCGGGCCTTCCCAATTTCTAGAAAGCAAATTTAAGAAAAGTGGTTACATTGACAAGTTTGAAGGGAGCTTGGCATATCTGGTAAAGTTGCCTACATGTGACCAAGAGGTCATATGTTTGAGCCGTGAAAACAGCCTCTTGCAGAAATACAGGATAAGGCTGCATACAATAGACCCCTATGGTCCAGCCTTTCCTCGGGTCCCACGCATAGCGGGAGCTTAATGCACCGGTTACATTGATAAGGTCACAGAGTTCTGGCTACATCATGACCAGTAATTTTCTAGGACAGAAATGCAAAGTTCAAAGCAAGCATCACTCAGCATATGAGAATGAATAAGCACCATGTTGTAAGATTTAAAAAATTAAACACATCAGAAGAATAATCACTAGTTTAGATGCTAGCACCAGCCAAGTATACCAAAGGTTACAATTGAGATTAAGCTAGATCCAACATAGGTGCATCGTGATAATGGCTGTGACGAATCAACAAGCCTTTTACAACTTCACAGGGGGAAGGAGTTGCCAATTAAAGCATTTATATAGGTAAAAGCAAGAAACAAACTGAAAGTTACCAAACACATTATAAATAAACTAGTCCAATTAAGTGCTAACAAGGTTATGCTTCAGTCCAAAGGCTGAACAAGAAGGGATTAAAAGTTTGCACTTCCTACATTGAAAAAAAGCAAACAAAAACAAGAGGAGAAAATACATGTTCCAAGTTTAACAGAGGGTGCTTCAAGAACAAGTACAGACCACATATACTGCAGCACTGGTACATAATTCAGTCAAAAGGCCGCATTCCACTGCGTTTGAGTTCAAGCACCAAACGCTGATTCTCAAGCTTGATAGCCTCATTATCCAGCATCATCTTTTGTAGCTCCTTGTCTTCTTTACTGCAGAATCTCATGTGCTTGAACCTCTTCTTCTCCAATTCCAGAATTTGAGCCTGAATTTGTAGCTTTTGTTCTTCCAACTGTAGTAAGCGAGGGGGAACATGCTCGTCCTGTATTTCTCTCTCCTCATTGTTCATAGAAGCGTGAATCTCATTGTTATAAGGATGAAGCACATTTGGATCTAATGTTGTGGTACCATTCAGAGATGAATGGGCCATATTCAATTCTCTTTCTTCTCCTCCAACTTTCCTCTTCGCAGGCATATCATGCACCAAATTAGGATTTGCTGTAGTGGTACAATTCAGAGACCCACAAGTCATGTTTGAAACTCTTTCTTCTCCACCTGTCTTCCTCTTCAAAGGAAAATCCTGCAACACGTTTTCGGTTTCACACTTGTCTTTACCCTTTACAGCCAACAGCACAGATTTCTGAACTTCCTGATCATGGGGAAGGAATAATCTATTCTGATTGTTGTATGAGCACAGTTCTTGGTAGAACAACTGTTTGCTACCTAAAAGCTTCTTTATTTCCTCTTTCAAATCGTCAGATAAGTCCATCATTTCTAGAAGCGCTGAGTTCTCCACGACATGACATGCAGTGCCTCTCCCAAGTACATCATTCAGTCTCTTGAACTTTTTGTTCAGATCATTAAACTTATCCTCACATTGCTGAGGAGAGACGTGATGACCTCTTTCAGCCATAACACAGGAAATGGCCCTCCATTTACCCTTCTTGATGAAAAGCCTATTGGACAAAACATCTTCTCCGATGTAAGAAACAGCAGTAATCAAAAGCTTAACCATCTCATCTGTCCATTTCATACGATGATATACTGGCTGCTTCTCTTCAGCATGTCCGGAGACTTCTGTCACATCATTCATACCCTCATGATACGCTTCAGGCATCTCGACGCTATTGAATTTGATAGAATCAAGCAACTGCATTTCTTGGTCAATGTCTTCCATGTTGCTTACACCAAAGGACATCACTTCTGGAGCATGCTGCCCAAGAACCACGGGACCCTGGTTAGGGTGATCAGTTAGTTGGTGATTGACTTGCATTGACCTGAACAACTCCAGCTGTCCACTTACTAAACTGGAGCCATAAAAAGCAAGGTGATGAATTTATGTTCACAGTAGTAGAGCAGCAACATTAATAAAGTAAACAACTACATCTCAACCCCGAGCAAGTTGGAATCGGCTATATGAATCATCACTATCCATTGATAAAGTAAGTCAAAAAAAATTCAGATCATATACGATTTTGCTCATTCATCAGAGAATAAACAGATAAGTTCTCGGGATTAAGTTCATGCATACAAAAAGATGCAAAAAAGTGGATTCTGGATTTTACTAGATCTGCAACTAGAAAAGAGGAGTACTAAGGCTAGTAGACGTATAACACACAGTACATAAGACGTTCCTGCTATGTTTAACTTACAAAAAACAAGGCTATTTAAATGGAAACAATCAACTACAAAAAAGACGCTCATAGTTATGAAGAACTAACAAGAAAGGGAAAGAATTTATTCAAACACATCATCCCAATGCAGATACAAAGCAAAAAAGATGAACTTACTATAAAATAAATAAAACCAGTCTCAAATAGAGAGTAAATCTTTCAAACCTTTAGAATATAAGTTCTTGCTTACTTCTAAGGAAGAGCCACATGCATTAAGCGAGTACTCTAAGAGCGCTTCCTGAAACACATTGTTTTGATCGCCCAGGGAAGAGGGGAACTTAATATAGAAACAAGGTTTGTAAAACAAGGGCCGTTGCTGCTGACAACTGGACGATGGAAGTAACATGTGGTTTAAAGTGAGAATGCTTTCACACTTTCGCTCACTAAATCCATAAATGAGTTAGAGTTATGTATTACAAGTTCAAACAAGAAGCATAATCAGCATACTAATTTTGAAAAAATAAATGCCAGACACATTCTGGGAAATATTTTAGAGCTGATTAAGGACAAATATAAGCCTTAATTTCCTCCCGCCCCTCAACCACTGATTCTCTCCCTAGTTTTTTCAAGAAAAAAATAAAATAAATAACTTTGAAACTCAACAACATTGTCTAGAGAATGGTTCCAGGCAAAGTACACATTTAAATCAACTCACAGCCAAGTTGATAAAACTGCTCTCAACTTTACTTTACCACAAAGGCAGAATGCTAAATACAGAATGTGAAATATCAAACTTATTACAGATCTCTTTGACCTAGCGGACAAAAAGGCTTGGATAGAAATAATATATCATATTATATGCTTTGCGTTGAACAATCATCCTTTGATAAATTTTGTAGAGACGACGAGTAATGCCTACTGGCTTTCATTGACTGTAGCCTAGCTGTTGTCTTTATTAGCTAGTCCTCTTTCCTTTTGCATCTCCCATATATTTAAATTTCTTTGTGTATATACCCTTTACAAACATTTCTTTCATTTCTTAATTTTACCTTTCTCAACTTTTATTCCCCAAATTTATCTGAACATGATAAAGAAGAACTAATAGATACAGATATAAATGATGAATAACTTTGTCAGAGATATAAGGTGTAAAGGGAAAGAAAAAGGTATTCTATCATCAAATATGTGTGTGTGTGGCGACTTGAAGCCCCAATCTCATGGTTGGAGGCAAGGTGTCGCTTCAATTTTTTTTCCTGTTGCTGTAGTTCACTATCATCATCCAAGTGATGACATCTCAACTAGGAGCTTTAGTCATTACATAAAAAATTATAATTTTATCAACAGGATGCAACATAGGGATTGATGTGCTTCAAGTGTAATAGAGTAAGCTTCCCTCAAGAACTTCACGATCCTTTTAATTATTTTACTTCTTTTCTTGTTCTGCTTCCCATTTATATCTTTTCTGTTTCATTTCTTGGAGTGCCTCTAATGATTCATTGAATAGTGTGTATGCAGTAGTGAATGAACATGCAATCTTCTGGTGCACTAAAAGAGGAACTTAACAGAGAAATTAATCAGCATTTAAGAAAAAAGAAATCGATCAGAGGGGAGGACAGAGAGAAAGAGGTACAGGCAGCGAGTTTCGGTCACAGTAGTGAAGACGATGGACAGTAATTCAAATATAGCAAACCAAAACTCAGGATTACATTTAAAAGTTTTCTGTTTTTTTTTTTTCAGCAGACCAAGTTTTGCTTGTAGCTTTTACAGCTTCTCCATTATGTGTTAACAAACCAATAACTTGATAAGTAACTGGAAATCAATCAGATAAACAAACAAGAGCATGGATGATTTGTTTTATGAATCCTATATCATGCATGAAAGCATTAAGCACTTAAATTTTATTCATACTGATGAAAAGCACATGCTGTTGAAGCTCTATCCAAAAAAGTGTTTATGCCAGCAGCTATTTGGTACACCATTTCTTAATACAGCAAATCTGATGTGCATCTCATGAGACCAGCATAGCCGAGTTAGTTCACTTCTAGTGGAAAATAATCTACTAGGAGTCCATATCCGAAGCAAAGTGAGACGATGAAGTAGGAAGCATGCATATGGCATCCGAATGGCAAAAGTCAAGCTCACTCTCAGTTCACTTGAATGTGCATCCATATCTTGTTATCTTATTTCTGTCAGAACTTATTCTCCAAGATTCATGCACTCAATTTCCTGTTTTCTCTAGTTTAAGGTAAGGAATTCATCTGGATACTAGGGCCATAAATTCAAGTGCTTCCCCATGTTCCTTCCTCTTTTAGGACAACCATGGCATATTAGAATCTTTATCTAGCGGATGACTATATCTGCTGCATTGCTTTTGACATTCCAGTCTAGCAATTTTCAAGGTCATGAGGGTTACTGGTCCTGGCTACAGAAACTTTTGAGGTTTCACCGTCTTCTCTGCCATCTTATCTGCTGCCGTGCCGTGCTGTGCCATGTCCCATGCCACACAGTGGCAGCAAAACTCTAAGAATGACTATGGATTCTTCAAAATACACATTTTCAAAAGCAGCTCAAATTCGAACACATCCGTGTGACATAGCAACCAAGCCAACTCGTATTCATCTCTCCACTAGATTTCACTGGAACCACTAGATTTTTCATCCTCCACCATGAACGCTGGAATTTGCCCACAAAAACATTGCCTTATGATTTAGCGCATCAGTGAAAAATCTTGGGGTGGAAGTGGAAAACACCCAAAAACATCTCAGGGTCTATTTACAAGGACGAGAAGCCCATGTGAGTTGACTGCGGACTATCTCGTTTGAGGCAAAAACAAATCTACAAAAACTTGGCAGGTGGAGGCGTGGAGCCCAAATTTAAATCTATGCTCCCTCTTTCTTTCTTTCTTTCTTTCTTTCTTTTTTTGGGTTTTAAATAGGGAAAAGTTGCCAACTGGGAACAGAGGATTGTAAAAGTGGCAGCAGTGGTTTTCTTCTAAGTATATTGGGAAACACAAATCATTGTCATAAATATAGAAGTACGTTCAAACTTTAGCTAATGGAGTACTATATTACGTCAATTTAATTTGCATTAACAGTCAACACTTCCTAGTATATATTACCTTAAGATTACCAACTTTCAAATCCCAGAGGACTTGTACATTTGAAAGGAACTAGAGCGTTGACGAATTATAGAGATTGTAATGTAGGAACTGATTTACTATGAACGATAATGTTCAATTTCCTCTTTGTTATGTCATGTTAAATTTTAAAAAAAGCTTTTATCATGAATTAATAGTAATGCATGAGTTGCTATGTCTATATTGTCTGTTTTACGAGCACATGTCTATAAAGCTTGAGAAGAAACAGAGACCACCAAACACCAAAGATTTCAAAGCCAGCCATGAATTGACATTACTCGGTATAAGAATATACACAGGAAACCAAATCCAGAATAACATGAAGATTAAAAGAGGAGAGAAAAAAGATAACCTCTAACACCAAAAACAATAGTAACACTAAGACTCAAATGACATTAAGAAAACCAGGGTACAGTTTAAAAGCTTACATCCTATTATACATTACTTAATCTTCGTCTTTATGAACTCAAAACATTCAACTTTAACAAAGCCTGACCAGAACTCCAACCAAACTGTTGAAGCAGATAATGAGCAGATGAGCTCCTCCCTTTATCAACTCAGAAGCATTTCCGGTGAACAATGGAAGGACCAGATTCATCATATTCACCTTTTGTTATCCACATCTGTAGTTCAAGAAACAAAATCAGCAAGGATCCCAACAAACAAAATTCGGAATACAGCTTAAACCATATCAGAGTTTGAGGAGAATTCATTATTATGCATTACCTGTTGGAAGGTGCTCAGAGAAGCTAAGATAGATCCTCCAATCCAGACACTGTACTTGCGTTCAGGAGGCGCCACCACCTTGATCTTCATGCTGCTGGGAGCAAGAGCAGTAATTTCCTTGCTCATACGATCTGCAATACCAGGAAACATTGTTGTTCCACCACTAAGGACGATGTTTCCATAAAGATCCTTTCTGATATCTACATCACACTTCATGATAGAATTGTAAGTTGTTTCGTGAATTCCAGCAGCTTCCATTCCAACAAGTGATGGCTGGAATAAAACTTCCGGACATCTGAACCTCTCTGAGCCGATGGTAATCACCTGGCCATCTGGTAACTCATAGCTTTTTTCAACAGAAGAGCTACTCTTTGCAGTCTCCAACTCTTGCTCATAGTCAAGTGCAACATATGCCAGTTTCTCTTTAACATCGCGGACAATTTCCCGTTCAGCACTAGTGGTGAATGAATAACCTCTTTCCGTCAAGATTTTCATCAAACAATCAGTAAGATCGCGACCAGCAAGATCCAACCGAAGAATTGCATGAGGAAGGGCGTAACCTTCATAAATTGGTACTGTATGTGAGACACCATCGCCAGAATCCAACACAATACCTGTTGAGATGGGCAAAAGCATGATTAGAAAGGAAAACTTGAAGATTCAAAGCATAGCATTATATGGCAACAATCACAGGCTATGCCAAATCAGATAACCATACATAAAATTTAAAAGCTTGAATGAGGTCAAGATCAACCAGACTTCTCTCCATGTCCGAGTCATTTGAAACTTTAACTAAAACAATATCGTAATGGATATGCCTGTCAAATAATCAATCTACTAATCAAAACTTGGTTGTAAAATTAGGGTAAGACTCAGGTCGCACCTGTTGTACGGCCACTGGCATATAGGGACAACACAGCTTGAATAGCAACATACATGGCAGGCACATTG